GTATATCAAAGTCTTTTTTTAAAATCCAAATATATGACATTACCTCAACTCCTGCATCTAAGCAGTTTTGGACCTGGTTATAAAAAGAAACAAGGTTCGTCAGACGGGATCTATCTGTTCTGAATCCCTGCTGGTTGCCCTTCACCATTATTTTCCCTGCTGGACTCCCAAAAATATAATCCTTAACAATTTTTTCAAAGGTTTTCCCAAGGATAGAGGTGGGACTAACTAGTCTATAGTTAACCCAGATCCTCCCTCCTCCCCTTTTTGAAAATAGGGACCACACTGGCCCTTTTCCAGTCCTCTGGGACTTCTCCTGAGTGCCATGAGTGCTCAAACAGTCCTGCCAGTGGTTCTGCTATGACACTGGCCAGCACCCTTGGATGAAGATCATTTGGGCCTGCTGACTTGAACATGTCAAGCCCCTCCAAGTGTCCCTTCATTAGGTCGGCTCTAACTGTTGGTGGGCCGGTGTCCTTCCTGTGCTTGTCTATAGTCTAATTTTGAGATATGTCATTATGTGTGTTCAGGAATAGAGATGCCAAAAACTCATTGAAGAGCTCAGCTTCATCCCTCCTATCCGTCACTAATTGCCCTAGCCTGTCCTGTAGGGGTCCTATGTGCCTTCTTTTTGCTCCCTATACACCTGAAAAAGGACTTTTTGTTGTCTTTAATTTTTGTTGCCAGCCTGAGTTCCATTGCTGTCTTGGCCTTTCTGACTCTCTGCAAGTGTGAGCCAAGTAGGTATAATCCTCCTTGGTGGCCACCCCCTGCTTCCACAGTCTGTATGCTTCTTTTTTCATCCCTAGGCTTTCCTGGATTTTCCTGCTCAGCCGAGAGGGTTTCTTGGCCCCTTTGCCCCACTTTATGTACACTGGAATTGCCCCCTTCTGTGCCTGAAGGATTGTTCCTTTGAGGAACAACAACGCTTCCAGGACTCCCATCTCACCAAGGCTCTTGTCCTTCAGTGCCTCACTTACTAACCTCCTGAGCTCACTGAAGTTAGCTTTTCTGAAGTCTAGCACTTCTGCCCTACTGGTTATCTTCCCCACCTTTTGACGGATAGTGAATTCTAACAATTTTCATATTGTCTAAGATTTCACTGCTTTTTCCATGTTGGTCATCCCTGATGAATATCAAATGTGTGCCACCACCACCCGATGAATGAACTTCCATATCAGCTCCAAGTTGTGTAAACATGCCAACCCATACGATTGCACCCCACGGTCTATAAATCACTGCCCATGTATATACCTTTCATGAACTGTAGCCAGTTAAACACTGTGTTAAGAATCTTTACCAAGTTTAACATGTTATTCTAGAAACTCACTTCAACAACATTTTTATTCTAAACCACCCCAAGGGCAAAATATTTCATAACTGTTTTCATTACTTAGCTTCTGAAAAAAGTGACACTCTTTCACATCAATACCCTTAAATTCATAGATTTTGAGGAGCTGGAAGGGACCTTGCAGATCGTCGGGTCCAGCCCCCTTGCTCTAGGCAGGAAGACAACTAGGGTTAAGTGACCCCAGCAAGGTGACTGTCCAGTCTCCTCTTGAAAACCTCCAGGGTAGGTGACTGCACCACCTCTGGAGTGAGTTTATTCCACAGTCTGGACACCCTGACTGTGAAGGCGTTTTTCCTGGTATTAAGCCTGAAGCAGCCTCCCTGGAGTTTGTATCCACTGGTCTGGGTCTTCCCCAGGGGTGCCCTAGTGAACAGTTGTTCACCAAGCTCCTGATGTACTCCTATGACAGGAGGTGGCGACCCCCAGCACACGTGCCAAGCATGGCACGTGAGGCCATTTTGCTTAGCACGCCATGGCCAGCCCCTGCACTGGGTAGCTGCTGCCAGCGATGGAGCCTGGGCTGCTCCCAGCAGGGCGTGCAGGGTCCCAGCTGCCTGCTGGGAGCAGCCCGGGCTCCCGACTGGCAGCATCTCCCCAGAGCCAGGGCTGGCTGCAGGTGGGAGGCTCCAAACTACTGTGCCAGGCTCCGGCATCTGCTCCCCACTGATGCGTGCACCTGTGCATTGGAGCAGGCGGCGAGGGAGAAGCCTGAGGCAGCGCAGCCCCGGTTTCTCCCCCACTCTCATCACAGAAGTGATGGCAGGCTTCTGGAGCCTGGCGCAGCTGTTTGTAGCCAGCCTGGGCTCTGGGCAGCTGCAGCAAGCAAGCAGGGGGCAGGCTGCAGCCCGCCCTCAGGTGCCCATGCAGTTGCTGCCAGCACGGAGCTGATGCTGGAGCTGTGGAGGCCGGCGCAGCTGTTTGCAACCTGCCCACTGCTTGCTTGCTGCAGTTGCCCAGAGCACAGCCTGGCTAAAAACAGCTGCACCAGGCTCTGGAAGCCTGCCATCACCTCTGTGCCGGGAGTGGTGAGACCGGGGCTGCACTGCGTCAGGCCCCTCCCTCACCGCCGCTCCAACGTGCGGGTGCACACGCCTGTGCGGAGCTGATGCCGGAGCCCAGCACAGTTGTTTGGAACCTCTGGGGAGCTACTGCCAGCTGGGAGCCTGGGCTGCTCCCAACAGGCAGCTGGGTTGCTGCAAGCCCTGCTGGGAGCAGCCCAGGTTCCAGCAGCTGCTCAGAGCCAGGGTAGCTGCTGACAGCCACAGAGCCCAGGCTGGGGGGCAGGGGCAGCAGGGGTGGGGGGCAAGGGGCACAAGCAGGGCATCCTGCCATGCATGTACCCCTTTGCCCTCATTTTGTTTTTCTGCCCATACCGGCACTCTGACACCTTCCGAGGTAGGTATTGTGATGTTTTTTGGCACTCTGGCCAAGAAACATTGCTTACCCCTGTCCTATGATACAGTGGTAAGCCGCTATCAAGTCCCCTCTCAATCTTCTCTTCTTTATGCTAAAGCAGCTCAGATCCATAGTTTCATAGTTTCTAGGGTCGGAAGGGACCT